GAATCCTATTCAATAGGATTGGTTTCTACAAGCTATGAATTATTTCCTCCTGAGTGAAATTTTGATGCTAACATACTTTCAACTTACGGTTTCCAGGATCCTCCTTTGTGTTCAATGAATATATCTAAACTACGCTGACTCTGCGCTCCCTAAGTGTAGCAAAATAAAGTGAATCTGCATCATTTTCAAAGAGTCAAGTTCTCGTAGACCTCCTTCCAAATCTCATCTTCCTAAACCTCATACTTATTCTCCTCTTTTTCTAGCCACCTATCTTTCTCTCACTTTTTCTCTGTGCTTTGGTCGCTCAGGCGCTCTCTTGCTCGCTCCATTGCCCAAAAAGGGTGTGTACTGCCGGCCGGGTCGTTCAGAGAGCGAAAAGGAGGTCCTGCAGTATAGCAGGGCGCAGTGCAGTGCTGGTGGTGGCTGCTTTTTCTCTCTCTCTCTATCTCTCTGTCGTCCTGTCTCTGTTGCGCCACTGCCCTGTTTGGGGCGCTACGTAAAGGATGAACGAGGAGGCGCCAGCCCTCTGTCGTTTAACGTTTGGTTCTGCTCCTGATGGCTGTGCTTGCTGGCCGGCCGTCCTTCGAGTCCTGGCTGTGTGTCTGCCTTTGAGTCGGTTCAGTCGTACGTGCTCGTTCGTTGCTTTCGTTCGGTTTTGATTCCATTCGGTTGTGTTTCTCGTTCGAGAACATTCATTTATAATTTTTTGACTCCTCTGCACCGGTTTTTGTGTTGTATATATATATACTTCTATATACTTATGTATATTCAGTTACGAATTAGTTGTGTTCTCGGTTTTTATCCAACTAAACTACAACTACAAAAAACTGTCACAGCAAAAACTAGGAACTAGGAACTAGAAAGAACCAAACAGCAATATCTGTGCAATGCCCACTCAAAACTCTAGGTTTTTTTAACAATCGTCGTGCAATATTAGGACCAAAGATACTTTAATCCACTAGAAAATCTATTAGTTTTCTTCCCTTGAAGGATACTTATTTAAGAAACGGATATCCAAACATTTTTTCGTATTTTTTGGAGTGTGTGATTTAAAAGTGCGGTCTCGTCTGACTCTAAACTACTACGCGGAAAATAGTAAGAAAAATAACACCATCTTTCGAACGTTGGACAAAGGAGCATATAAGGGAGACAGAAATCGCGGATACATAGACAGAGAGAGAGAGAGAGATATAGAGTGAGAGAGAGTGCTAGACTTGGGAAGGAGCGAGAGCCAACGAGTCGACGCGAGACTTCGAGAAAGTTTTTTGTGTGCAATCAATATATATTATAGTCAATCCTCCTCCGCCCCAAAAACTATCATCAACTTTCAAGCAGCTGTATGACAGTATTTCTTCCCAGCCGGCACCTCGCTCTCACTATTTCCGTCTCGGCCCGAAGGCACGTAAGTACGAGTAATAGCCGAATGATCTAATCACCATCCTCCACTTCCAAAGCCATCAAATTTTCTATATACATATGTATATGTAAATATATCCCCATGGTTATAGCTATAGTTATGCTCGTAGTTTATTAGTAGTTGTAACTGTGGTTGAGCAATGGAAATCGATAGCGGCCGAAATTGAAAATTTCCATGACATTTATTATTTGTTTTCTTTTAATCGGACAATTTATCGCCTTAGAGTTTCACCAAGTTAATGATTGGTAAAAGGAAAGTCTAAGGTTAAATAATAAACATCAATGTAATGATTAGTGCTTAAATGATAAGAGAAGCGTATTTGAAGCATTATAAATTATAGTTAGATTTATCGAAAAAGACAACTTGATTTATGAAAATACATGGGTATAAATCGAATCCTAAAAGGGTTTCGTTTTAAAGATTTTAATTTTCATTTTCTATAGAACATCGGATTGATCACAGAGGAGTGATGGGCATAGAGTTTTATGGACCAAAACAAGTTATTCAAATTTTCAAATGCTTCAGTATCTGAATTCTTGATAAGTATTGAAAAATACAAAAAAATTATATCGTGAAAATAAATCAAATAACTTATAATGCTATTACCAATCATCATCGACATTTATTTCACTGCATTTACATATACTATATGTTACTCTATACTTTATGTTATATATTTGGTGGATCGCGCGATCTGTCAAACGAAATCTGCTCCATAAATGATGCATTCTATCCGAAAATATTCGATTCCAGGTGAAGCCCTGGCCGGGATGTTCCTGTCTCTGATGCAACCCCCCTGGGGACCCTCAGGACATGCCCTGACCCACCTCAAGGCCCTCTTTTAAGGCTCTCTAGCACTTCCGACACACATTCCCGAATGAGGTCACAGATATCGGCACAAAAGTGTCAATTACACATTTTTGCTCTGGGTTCTTTCTTTCAGTCACACACTCACACAAGGGGGTCCTGGAGAGAATGGTGTCTATATTATGCTGTATCACGCCATGCTGTGCAATTAAACCATGTCCCCCTCCCTCTTATTCTTTGTCGGCCTCTCTCTCTCTCTCTCTTTTCCTATGGGTTTGTCTTTTTCTTGCTCCGGTTGTGGGTGCAATTCCCCTTTATGCAGTTTTTTTCGCTGCATTTCCCTTTGTTTAAGGCGCCTTTTGATGCAAATATTTATTTGTTCATCCTTCCTTTTACCCGTTTCCACAGGTTGCATCTTCACCTTTAGCATGCTGCCTTTTGAGGTTTGTTTTTCATATCCCATGCAGCATTCAAAACCCCTTGCAGCCTTGCCCCTTTTTGCAGGGGTTCAATGAACGCGGAACCTGGCTTTTAAACAGCTGCTGGTAGCAGTTTTGTAACCGCAGCAATGCCTCTGGTGATCCAAAAAAGGGCAAACACTGAAGAGTGGGAAAGTGGGAAACACAGACAAATAAATGGAAAACTAGTGAACCCAAAGCCACAGGCACAGATGCAGTCAGGGTTCAATGACCTCAAAGACTGGGCAGGACATGGCCGTGGACTGCAACTGGGATTGGCACTGAAACCGGGACCGGGACACAACTTGCCTGCTCGTTTGTTTGTTTTTCACGTCAGGTTTTTACCCTATTTTCAGTGCAGACAAAGTGCCACACACAAACACGCGCGCAGGCAGACATCCAGGATCTAGCAGGAACTAGGAAGCCCGTCCTCTTCGGTCTCTCTCTCTATTTTTCAACCCCGAAAAACCATTACAGTTGGAAAGAGTAGGAGGTAAACTAGTCCTAGACGACTATGACAACACACTCGATGCATGAGTGGGAAATACATTCATACATACATACATACATATGTATGTACATACATGTATATAGGTTTCGTTGAACAAAAAGATATGCAATATTAAACGAGCATGACTTACCTATAAAATTTTAGCTAAAATTTAGTTCAAATAATATTTGAAGACACAGTTTCTCTTTCTTCTCAAATCACCTGAAACTACCAATGACAATTTCCCATCTCCTACCATAAATTCAATATCTTCAAGCTGTATCACATTAATTCTTGCCATTTACTTCTCCGAATTTCTCACAGAGCGGGCATACAATTTTTTTCATACGGACTTGACATTTTTAGATATCATATCATTGGCGCTTTATCTCTAAGTGTCTACCTATATGGGAATATACACACATACTTCCTACATGTCGAAAAGCGATTTAATTAAATTCCGAACCATTAGGCGAGCATTTTGTGCTGCCAAAAAAAAAGCGATACAAACCAACTCCCAAACTTCAGATCGCCTATCCCATTTTTGTTTGATAAACAGACTTTAGCTTTGACTTACCCTTGTCGTCCATTACGCAAGAAGAGGGTGGGTGGGGGACTCTGATACTCTACTCGTAGGTAATGCTGCTCATGGTGGTAGTGGTGGTGGTGACAGCAGTCACAGTCACTGCCAGTTTCAATGAGTGTCATTTACAAAGGCACTCTCCGTGTTAGAAGAGAGGAGGCGAATGTGTGAAATGCTCTTATCAGGCAGTTTTTTGCTCCGATCATCGGATCTTCTTTTTCTCCTATGCCACTGATTTGAATCTATGGAGTAAAAATTGTAGAGCTATTTTAAAGCAAATACATATGTACATATACATATGTACATATATAGTCTTTATCCTAAAGCCATTATTTCGTACTATTGATTCCCTAGTACAATCATGGATTTACTTTTCTTTCTGTTCCCGCCATAGATTCAATGCTTTGAAAGGCATACAAAAATATATTTAACTCCTAATCCTCGTAATAGTGCTCTATACATTTCTCCGCTGAAGATGGAGGAAATATAAGATGGAAATCATAGACTAAATATATGTATATTGTGGTATCATAAAATATTATTATTAATACTATTCTATAGCCTACCTAACTACACAAATACCTCGCATTTTCCATTGCAGATTGAGTAAAAGCAAGAGAATAATCGAACAGCCATAATTTATGGATATGATGCATTTTTAGACTGCAGAAAGCAGAAAATGTCAAGAAAAGAAAATAACAGAACCGAAAAGAATACAACAGAACAGAACAGATCCGAATAGAACAGATTGAACCGGAAAGAAAGGAAAGCAAAAACCAAACACCACCAAATAAAACCAACTACTATTAATTTAATAAAGCATAAACGAATAATCATATTCAATCTGTACGACTACTCGTATATATATATATATTATACAAGAGGATAACAGATAATACAACTATTTATATACTATATATGATATATGTATGTATATTTGAAAACAAAGCTAAGTTCCAACAAAAAAAACTAACCAGCGCAAATTTATTAAAAGTATTATAGTAAAAAAACAACAACAATAATTGCTATCTTTTTGCATTTTTGCAATTTTATAAAAAAAAATTTCCGAAACTGAAAAGAAAAAAAAAAAAAAATAAGAACAAATTCTCAAAACACTACAACACTCGGCGAAAACAAAAAATTTAGTAAAATTTACTCTTTTATCTTAAAAAAAGAAAAATCAAAAAATATACGAGCGATTATTTAATTCAAGACATAAATTCAATTTAAAACGTTTTAGACAGAGAACGCTTTAGAACATAACTAAGTAAAAGAAAATACGTTTTTTTCGCGATCGTAGTTGATCTAAAAACCCCACACAACCGAACTAAAAACCACAGCAACAACCACTTCTGCAGCTAAACAACTTCACGGGACTTGTGCAAAGCGCAGTCGACATTAAAATTAAATACAAATAAAAATAAACATAAACCATAATTAAAAGAAGAAAACCTAATTCGTAAGCGTTAACAACCCAAGCAGTGAGATTAATTACTAAGCGAACGACAACAACCATCTAACAAGCAAAATCAACCAACCAACCAAGACGAAAATCGCGTAGTACCGAAACCGGAACCAAAAACAGAAAGCAAAATGACCAACGCCATGGATATCGTGAAGAACGGCAGCGCTAACGGCTCCGTGGACGGCAGCAATGATGAGTCGCGCACCAATTTGATTGTCAACTATCTGCCACAGACCATGACCCAAGAGGAGATGCGATCGCTCTTTTCGAGTATCGGTGAGCTCGAGAGTTGCAAACTGGTGCGTGATAAAGTCTCAGGTAATTTGGGTAAATATTAACCAATGATTCTTCAATTAAATTCTAAGCTTTTTCTATGTTTCTGTGTATATGAATGTTGTGAAATTAGGCTGTATCTATTCTTTCATACAATCCTTTGTTTATTTGGCTTTTGATTTTTTCCAATTCTTTCCTGCCTATACTGTATATATCCCTATATCATATCAGTTTAGGTAGATGTTGCTGTCCGTCATTGGAACAAAGTGCCTTAAAGTGCCATTCGACAGTATTCCTATAATTTATATTCAATATATTCAATAAACTACTAGAGGCTTTCAAAGCATGTTATTTATATATATCATATCCGTTTAACATTGTCTAAAATATAGATTTTATAAGTAGATACATAAATATTTAGCATCCTTATCTCTAATTTTATTCTCTCCTTTCCCTTTTTAAGTCTTGCCAGCATCGTTGACCGCCCTCAATCCGGCACTCCAGCAAGGTAAGTGTCCCAAAATAACAATGATATCCCATATAAACGTAAATAAATGGAAAATTAACCTAATGATTTATTGAATCTTTTAGGCCAAAGCCTGGGCTACGGCTTTGTTAACTATGTGCGTGCCGAGGATGCTGAGAAGGCTGTGAACACCCTGAACGGCTTGCGTTTGCAGAATAAGGTTATTAAAGTATCATACGCCCGTCCAAGTTCAGAATCTATAAAGGGTGCTAATTTATATGTATCGGGTCTTCCGAAGAATCTATCACAACCAGACTTGGAGGGGATGTTCGCATCGTTCGGCAAGATAATTACATCTCGTATACTCTGTGATAATATTTCCGGTACGTCATCTACTCGTATGTTCTGAAATTATTAACAAATTTATGGGCTTACTATAAATTAGGTCTATCGAAGGGCGTCGGTTTTATACGCTTCGATCAACGCAACGAAGCCGAGCGGGCCATACAAGAGCTGAATGGCAAGACCCCCAAGGGCTATGCCGAGCCGATTACCGTGAAGTTTGCCAACAATCCGAGCAACAGCGCTAAGGCCCAGATTGCTCCGCCCCTAACCGCCTACTTGACGCCTCAAGCGGCAGCGGCCACCCGACGTCTGGCCGGCGCCCTACCAAACGCTGGACGCATCAGGTGTGTACTACTTCCCACATACATCCCAAACTCAGTCGCAGTCACAATCCCAATATACATAAATCTGAGCCCGACTTAGGAATAGGAATAGAGAATAAAAGGACGTCTGATTGTATGTCTTCCTATGGAGGTGGGTAGGAAAAAAAATGACTTATATGAGTTTAAATAACATTCTGTTCAACCACAAAACAAAACAAACAAAATTACCGAAATGAATTTTTTGTTTTTATGTGTACGAGTATGCGTATATTATTGAGTTCAGTTGAAAAAGCTTGGTTATATATTATATTCAATTCGAATGAGTATAGGGTTCTATTAGATTTTTGGTATTTGTGTGTGTAACACCCAGAAGAAAGCGTTTCCGACATCATAAAGTATATATATTCTTAAACAGCATTAAGAGCCAAGTCGATATAGCCATGTACATATGTCTGTCCGTCTTTGCGTTCGTATTTCGAAATTCCGCATAAAAAAAGACGAAAATCTGTAGCTTCCACAATTTTGAAGATACAAGAAAACTAAAAGCGCAGAATCATAGAGAACCGTATCTAACTGATTTCCTATTAGATTAGATCTGCATTAGATTGGATCCTTATAAAAGCCAGAAGGAACAAATGAAATTGCAGTGGCTACGCAATTTCTTACACGTGCTTATGTTAGCGTGTCCCATGTTAGGTGAATTTTTTGATCTTGTCCATTTCATATTCTCTTACGTTTTTCCATATAAATACGAGTACCACTGCATTCTTTTTTGATTTTTTTTACCATATTACTATATTCGTGTAAACAGTAACCGAAGAAGATAGTTTTGTGTTTATAAGTGTTTTTGCATTTATGTTCGTTTTATAAATACTTTTTGAATGTACATTATACCTACAATTAAAGCCTTTTTATGGTTTATCTATGTTTAGCTTTGTGTTTTCATGTATATTTTCTTTGGTTTCTGATTCGCTTTGCTTTTATTTGCATGTAAAAGTATTCTTTGTTTTTTTTTGTTATCCTTTTTTCAACACTAATCATCGACTGCAGTGTGTCCGCTCACTTAATTTCTATTAATTTGAAACGCACTGTTTCACATGGTCCAACACAAATAACTATATCCGCTTCCGCTTCCGTTTCCGCTCGTGATTTGGTTTTTGGTGCACCGTGAGAAGCAACGATTACATGAAAGTGCTCAATCGGGGAAATTTCAGACAACATAAAAATTATGTGTACCTTGAAGCACAGTTTAATGCTGGAATTTTGCTCTTGAACAATGGAATTCTCAAAACTTTAACTAAAACTTCTAGTTATATTCGTGGAGGGTTCCCGACTTAGAAACTAAGCAAACAAATCTTTAGTTTTTATTAAAATCGATACTATCGATGACAATAGTTACAAAAAGATTATTAATCGAACTTTTATTTATTGTTTCCCATCATCGAATCTCCCTTTAGATACTCGCCATTGGCCGGTGATCTATTGGCCAACTCGATATTGCCCGGCAACGCAATGACCGGATCTGGGTGGTGCATATTCGTCTACAACCTGGCCCCAGAGACCGAGGAGAACGTGCTGTGGCAGCTGTTTGGGCCATTCGGGGCCGTTCAGTCGGTGAAGGTGATCCGGGACCTGCAGACCAGTAAGTGCAAGGGATTTGGCTTCGTCACAATGACCAACTACGACGAGGCTGTGGTGGCCATCCAGTCACTTAATGGCTACACCCTGGGCAACCGTGTGCTCCAGGTCAGCTTTAAGACTAACAAAACTAAAACTACTTAAGCGAAACTGAACTAGTGTCTAGTCCTAAGCGTAGTCCTCTCTCTCTCTATCAATCCTCTATGATTTGACAGTACTTTGACAGGACTTTCCGAACGATTAAAAGTTTGATTTGCCAACGGCGCGACGCGTCGACGAGTTGTAGTCAAAATTACACATTTACTTATACAGAGATAAAAACAAACATTAATCAAAATCATGATCATGATTGATGGGACATGTGAGAAAGAGGAGGATTCTCTATGATTTGATTTGTATGCTAACGAAATTATTATGATTGTAATTCTAATGAAATCTTAGTGAAAATTGATTTGATTCTGTGTATGTGGCGAGTACCGATTAAACGTCGATATGGATGCACGAATACTCCAAACTAATTTAATTCGATTAACCAAAGCCCAAAACCTAACAAAAACAAAGCTTGAATGAGGCAATGAGAAACACAACAGCAACTAAGGAGTAAAATGAAGCAGAACCGTTAGGAAAAACAAGACAAATGTCTATAAATTGACAAAATGAATATGGGAGGCAATGAAGATTGACAACATTGCATTGACACAAAGCAAAACAAAAAAAAAAAAAACAAAAAAAAAAACAAAAAAAAAAGAAAAATATTTGAATCAAGAAAATGATCCAAGTCGCAATATTTAGAAACTGTTCTTTTTTTTACTTATCGATATGTAATTCAATTTGATTATATTCAATTAAACAGTATACTTAACGAGCTAACCAAATGATTTACTTAATGTCTACTGATTTAAGCGAAACCCAAATAACTCACACACACATATTTCTCTCAGCTTACCTAATTACTTATTATACTTATTATAATAGATATGCATAGATATATTATATTGTATTGTATCGTATTTTGTGTTCGTTTTGCCAGGTTTATCTTACGATTAATTCTAGTTCCACTCGATATGATGTACTCACAACTTATTCGATTTATTTCGCATTGATTTTAAACTCGAAAACGAAACGAAAACGAATGCCGCGAGAGATCTCTCAAAACGTAACAAGAACCCAATTTACACAAAACACACACACATGAACCTCGAAAAACGAAACACACATTATTATATAGAAGATACAATTATCTAGCCAGATTTGATGACCCTTATTTCGTCATCTTAGCGGAGGAGTACAAAGTATATTCAATATTCGTATTCGTCAAGTGCAAACCAAAGTAAATGAAACCAAGAAAACCTATTATATTGTATTCATTATTATATATTATTATGCCTACTTATTATTCCATTTTTATAATTATTATAACTTATTGAATGCCAGCAAAGCGAAACCAAAAATGAAACTAAAAAAATGAAGCAAAACTAACACAAAAGAAAATAACAAAAATAAAAAAAAAAAGGCGAACTACCCCTAAAAATATATATATTTATTATTAAATAAATGTGTGACTTATTCCAAAAACTATGCAAAAAAATGAAAAAGCGAAAATACCACAAAAAACCTAAACACAACCATTTGTTTTCTTTTTTTTCCAACCAAAAACAAAAAAAAACAACCTCACACAAAATTGGCAACGCCGCAGGTGACTTGTGATCGGAGTGGTGTATCCCTCTGAGAAGTTTGGCAACAGGCCAAGTGAAATGCGGTAACACACCCACATACAACCATAGAAACTACTACAACAACAGCACTCGCATTTATACAAAGATACTCGAAATACGAACTAAGTTTCAACGATCTATAAAAGTATCACTAAGTTTTAACTGGTTTTATATCGTACGCATACATACATACATACATATATCCAACCATAGGCAGTGTATAAGTACACATACATACAAATATACATACATACAATATGTATATGCAATGTATATTTGAACAAAGAGAGCCACCTAGTTGCCCTTGCGTAATTGGATTTTTCACATCTATATTCTAGATTTATTCCCCCCTTCAGCTCTAATGATCATTCAGTAGAGTCTACTTACAATCAATGTTTGTGTCTGTAGTATTAGAAAAAACAAAAAAATTCAAAAACCCAAATAACAAATCGCAAACGCAAAACATTTTTTAAAAAGTAAACACTTTTTGGGTGTACTCGTATCTGGTGCCCAGAAGGCAAGGCCACATCTACATGGCAAGCGACTCTAAGGCTAAGAATTACTTAGACCAAAAAATAAGTATACAAAAAAAAAAAAAAAATAGTACTTACAGTATTTAAGAAATGGAGGGGAAAAGAGATAACCAATAACCGCTCCAGCAGAGCAACATGTTGTGGGAGCTGCGAGTGCAAATTGAAAACACCAAATTTTTAAATATAAACGATGTAAAATTTTTTAAACAAAGATTTATAGTAAAATTTATTGAATATGTATGTGAATATATACATATACACAGAGGGAGAGTTAGCGAGAAGGAGCAAAAAAGATGGGAAAATAGTACGGAATACATGTCAGAGAAATACGCGCAAAATAAAATGTGAAATACATTAAAAAAATACCTTAAAAAAAAGACAAAAAACGAACTGCTTCAATGACAAACAAGGAACGGTAACGAAACCAAAAGCAAGTGACATCATGATGGCCAGAAATCGAAGTCCCCTATCGCCAAACAGAGAGATGTTTGCTTCTTGACCACTTCGATTCGGGGATCAGATCGTTCAAAATTTTGGGTTGTGGTCAGTACAGCTTCGCGGTCGATTTGATGGCGCTTGCAACCCATCGAAATTTATTCGTTTTCCTCTCACCCGGTGACTAGATACCTAATACTCAATACAATATTCAGCAGTATAAGCAATGTGGATTACTCAAGAGATAATCGAATATGACCCATAAGTATACTCAAATATTAACCGCCGCATCGCATCACAGCAGGCAGCCCCGATCAGGGTTCTGCGTGTGAAAGTGTGTGTCATTCACAAAAGCAATATTAAAATGTGGCACGAGTCAGATACTGAAGTAGCTAGGACCCAGACTTGGACTTGTAACCGGACTTGACACGACGGAAACGTGAACGGAACGGAGATGTACAAATCGAAACTCAGCGACTCGGGTCACATTCATTCACAGAGTTTGCATGCATAAGTGCTTTCTATACCATTTACCTAAAAATTTATTAACTAACGAATATAAGTACAGTTTATTGGTTCCATTATTACACAAACATGAAAACACGCAGTCGAATTTTGGATGTTCTTCAAGTTAAGTTTTAATAAAACTACAATAGAGCGAAAAAGAAACGGCAAAAGGCATGCCTAAAACCGAACCCAACAATGAAAATCATCAACTAAGCATGAAATGCATTTAAAAGTTAAATACAACAAATACATATTTATGAAACTATATATATATATATACATATAGAAATATATATATATGTATATATACATATATACATACCTAAGTGTCTACTTATATGGACAGAGAAATACCCCCCAAACAAGAGCAACACAAAGTCAGAGAGTTTGAAGCTACGAAATTTCAAAGAAAATCAGATGCAGATAAAGAAAAAGATGAGAAAAAAATTGCAATTACCAACGCCTCCCGATTCTAAACAAAACATTAACTTCCAACATTTTTATTGATATACACTAAAATCTAGTCACGTAAGGCGATTTCATTGATACAATCTAACAATCTGTGCTAATGGAGCAGAAAGAGGAAGTATATTGTTCATTTTCACAGTGACAAAATTGCATGCAGATTAGCGAAAACAAAAAGTTCAAGTTAGTCTATAGGAAAAGATTTAACTGTGGGAAAAATAGAGATCAAGAGGAGAACAGGCCAAAGCAAGCACAAAAAATCAGTAAAATTCAAAACCAAATACCCTCTAAAGGCAAAACTACACGGTAAACTGTGGCCAAGCGGTATGAGCAGTTGTCTGCTTGGCCCATAAGCAGTGTGAGCAGTTAACGGAACTGGAACTCCTCATAGGTAGTAGAACTGCTTACAATGTAAAATATAAGAAAAATTAAATCGAAAACAGAATAGAAAAATGTTGAATAATTTGCAAAAATTTGATCAATAAGTTGAGAAAATAAAAAACAGGAATAAAGTTAAAAATATACGTAGCCGCCAGTCAACGGAACGCGCCCAAAGAATAGAGGTTTAAAATAAACTAATGAAAAACGAAAATGAAGAAAATATTTAAACCAATTTTGTGCATAAGAAAATTGGAAACCGTTACACACATATATAAGCAAACCCCATTCATAGAACATATACAGTAAAAACGATACGTATGCAACAGAAACATCCACAAAATAAATGGAAAAACCAACAGAACTAAACTCCAAGCTTAATTATTTATTGTCTATTTTATTATGTATGCTAATTATGATTGTCTATAGCGTATCATACTATATGCATAACCCCATATATACTTTTGTGTAGATCTGAGGCCAGCACATATTTATTATACTTACCCAATTAGTTAACCACATACCGTATATCTATGTACTTACATTAATTTACGTATATGCTTCATTAATACATTTCGATATTGTATTCGTAGCCAACGAGTAGGACTTGAGACTTATTTGTACTACCACCTCCTCCTTCTCCAACACAATCACACATTCAACACCCAAAAAAGCATCAGCTAAAGTTCTCATTTAAAGTATTTACATATGGTCTAAGGTCTATGGATAGTCGCATATTTCTTTATGTATATACCATAGATATAGCTAACTAACAAAAAGAAACACATTTACACAATTGGAAGGATAAAGAGGGGACAAACAAATTTAGATGCATATTATTATATAACTTATATTGCAAAAAAACCAAAACAAAAACCAAATCGAAATCTTAAGAAAGAAGAACGTAAATTTTACTATACTCGTATATATAAATGTATGTATAATTATTATTCTATTTGCATTTTATTGTATGTATTAGTTTTGTTCAACACTCTTTTGCTCTATCATAAACAAAAAAGGAACAAATAATCCAAATGAAAAACAAAAAGCAAAAACGCCGGCAAGCAATGGTATCTAAAATAAAAATATGACAAAACGATGGAAAAACTAAAAAAAAAAAAATGAAATAAAAATGAACGAACAAAATAATTACCAAAAACAGATTTTTCTTCATTTCGTCCAAAGAATACCCTTCCTCCAACTGTTAAATTCATTTTGGTGATAGATATCTTGGTTTATTCAGTACGTTAGAGTGCTTGAGTATGTGGTTTTAAAGTGGATATATTTGTCATAAGTAAATCACGACTACAGTGACATAACATTGTGTACATGTACATATATCTTTATCGTTTATAATAGAATTATGAGATAGCATTTGTTTCTTGAGGTACACTTGAGTACGTATGTATTTTAGAGGCATCCCTTGGCAATTGCCTAAGTAGGTCCTCTCTGGGTTGGTATTACGCATCGTATTATATGATTTAAAATCGTATTGGTTTTAAATGAGAACCTTTTGAGTCATCTACAAAGATATAGTTATATTTGGTTGGGTACATAAGACATTCAACTTCTTGTTTCCCGAATACTTTTTACTCAAAGGGGAGTCAAAAAATGCTGAAATTAAAAATCAATAGATCTTAAATTTATTATTAAAGATCTTTCTTCAATATAATCATATCTCAGACTTTAGGAAAAAGTAAATTTGAAAGATTAAATTGAAACAATAAATGCTGTTTTATGATATTAGAAACGATAGATTCAGATATTCAATAACAGAAAGATTGCGATGGAAAGAAAGCGACAAGTCGTTTATAATGCTAAGAGGCATACGATTTGCTGACAATCTCCAAGACCCTGAGCATAAAAACTCAAAATCTCTGGTCTGCCATTATCTCCGGGGTATTCCGTTGGACTCGGACTCTTGAGATGCTGTTGCTAGTCCGGTATACCTTACACGCCCAGTTCACGGCTGGGCGTGGTTGTGGCCAATTGTCCAGTATTACTCCCAGCAGGCGGTGCCGCCACCAAAGTGGGCACCCATTTGTTGAGGAGCGTGCGCATGGCGAATGTGACATCGTGATTGGCGAAGCAAAACAGGAACGAGACGACAAAGCCCTGTAAGCTGACCAGGACGACGGAGAGCAGCTGATAGAATCGATCCAGTTGGGTCCCGGCATCAGGACGGTAGGGTAGCAAGAAGTGCTGCAGTCCGAACAGCGGCACCAGAATGATAGTGGCCCGCACGGCCTTGCGGATGGCCAGGGGAGCGGGCTGGGCTGACTGTGGATGCAGCTTCCTTACAATTACCCGCAGCACATTGATGAGAAAGACTGCAAGACATTGGAATTGGTAGTTGATAGAACAAAAATAGGGCGCTTACATACTGAAGCTGGCCAGAAGAGAGAGAGTTATTGGCACGGAGAAGATCCACAAAAAGAGGCTGTCATTGATCCAGCAGCTGCAAAGGAATATATTGCAGGAATATATATGTTTTAAACTAAAAAATTTAAGGATAGTTAAGGGTATGACTAGTGTCGTCTTTTAGGAAGCTTGTGGCTTGAAATGATTAGGGTATGCGATGGCTACATAGGAAAATCCTTCCAGATAGGGTAATGATAATGCTTGAGTATGATGACAAGATGTTTACGTAAGCAATGCTTTGGTACTCACTTTTCATTGTCCGTGCTGCTGTAGTGCCGTGCCGCGCCATAGACTAGCGCCACATGAATCGGGGAGAGCCAGCTGATGATTTTGAACCAGCGCATAACAATCGTGTCCTTGACAAAGACCTGTGCAAGACAAGACAAGGAAAAGCAGGGAGGGCTACAATTCTGACATACAAACTTGACGAAGACAGTGAGTAGTTTGCTAAGTTTCCAACTTGCTTTCCCATAAATTGAGTGGGAAACAAATTCAGATGCAGCTGATGGTGTTTCCATCAAAAGCAAAAACAGAAGCAGCAGCAGCACAGCAAATTAAATTCCCCATCCACAGCAGATGCTCATAAAGTATGCAAACTTGCCAGCAATTACGACGATTTGCATGTGAATCATATAAGCAAGAAATAAGAAACAAGAACCACGGAGGACTAGATGCACTGCTTCCCACACGACTCACCACAACGAGAACCAAGTGCAGGTGTAGACCCTCACAGAACATCCAGAAATAGTTGACCAGCATGAAGTAATGGACGACGAGATGGAGACCAATGCACCAGAGCTGAAAATAAATGATTTGGCTTCGATGGTGGTTCGGTGTGTGGATGGGCTTACCGGGCTTTCGGCTACGAACTCGGGCCTTTCCACCACCAGACGGTACCAAAGGATCCAGGCCACACAAGTGCATGACAGCGAGGCGAACAAATGGACATGAATACGAATGCGGGTGCAGCGCAAGGATCTGCAACGGACAGTCATCAGTTGTCAGTCTGAGTCTGAGTTGGAGCTATACTCAGAACTAGCACTTACTTGAAGCCCAGGAATATAATGATTGATATGAGAAGGGCCAGCAGGGAGAGGGTATAGCCCTTTACATAAAGCTCGTTAATGAACTGACGGAACTGAAATGGCAATTTTCTTCATTAATCCTTCACTGGCAATTACTTCACGGAGACTGCTTGCCTCCAGGTCCTCGTAGTCCACACAGTTGGTGTAATTGGACCAGGTTAGATTGCTCACTGGATGACGGAACCACGAACCGTTCTCCAGGCAGCTAAGAAAACGAAATTTGCATAAAAATGTAAGTTTTTTAAGTTGGTATCCACTTGGGATATGTATGTATAAATATGTGTATATCGAATATATATTTCCAACTGATCAGAAATATAATGATTTTAACCAGGGACCCAAAATAAGGGTAATGAATGCAAATGTTAACTAAATCAATGTGAAGGAAATATGTTACGACAGCATGGAATACACAAAAATTCATATATTGGTCGTATTTAGCGGTATCAAAAAAACTTATATTTACGATTCATATGAAATAAATAGTTTTTAATTCTTATTTTTCATTTCTAATCAAAACGAGGTGGAACGTTGTGAGTTGCTGCGGACACCGCAACTCTACGGTTATACCCGATACTAAGTCAGTATGGCTCTCCTCCGGCAGACGCCGCTAATATTAAACGACACGACAAAGAGAGCGTGCGAGAGAGACAGAAAATCAGTCTGAGCGTGACGTCACGCGCTGCGTAGCCACTGCAAATTGATTTGTTTCCTTTGGCTATAAAAATGATCTGATCTGATCCAGATTCAGCAATCTGATAGATATGGTCGTTATCTATGATTCTGCGTTTTTAGTTTTCTCAAATCTGCAATATTGTGGATGCAACAGATTTTCGTCCTTTGTGGGGGCGGAAGGGGGTGGGGCGAAATTTTGAGATAAAGGTTTTATAGTGAGATCTAACAGAAGTGCGGATACCAGATTTGGTTACTCTAGCTTTAATAGTCTCTGAGATTTGTGAATATCCCCAGATTTGCATCCTTTGCGGGGGCGGAAGGGGGTGTGGCGAAATTTTGAAACAAACTCGTCTCGGTCCGATATATTAGGAGTGTGGATACCAAATTTGGCTGCTCTAGCTTTTATAGTCTCTGAGATCTAGGCGCTAATGTTTTACTCTAAGCAAAGCCGCCTATGCTACCTGTGTGTTAGAGAGAGACAGGGCGAGAAAAAATGAAATTGTTTTCTTGATGCTGGCTATAATAATAATACGATCGAATTCAGATTCTGCAGTCTAAAAGATATGGTCATTCTCTACGATTCTGCGTTTTTAGTTTTCTCGTATCTTTAAAATTGTGGATGCCACAGATTTTCGCCCTTTGTGGGGGCGGAAGTGGGCGGGGCAAAGTTTTGAAATATTTTTGGAGCAGTGACATATTACAGAAGTCTGGATCCAAAATATCGTTGCTCTAGCTCTTATAGTCTTTGAGCATTAGGCGCTGAAGGGGACGGACAGACGGACAGACGGACAGACGGACGGACGGACAGACAGACAGGGCTCAATCGACTCGGCTATTGATGCTGATCAAGAATATATATACTTTATAGGGTCGGAAACGATTCCTTCTGGACGTTACACACATCCACTTTTACCACAAATCTAATATACCCCAATACTCATTTTGAGTATCGGGTATAAAAAATGCAAAATAATCATTAAAATATAAGACATACATATTTGTGTAATAAATATGACATATAATTTTATTCATTTTAATTTTAAAAAGATACAAAAAACAGTTCTTCCGTAACTTTTATTTTTATAATCAAAAAAAGTTAAATTGATTTAATAATCCTTTGAACTCAAATTTGTGTCGTTAATTTGGTAAAATGTGCGTAACAGAACAACTGGGTAAGGACAACTGTTTCCCTCCACATTTAACTCAAAACATAGGTTCAAAAAATTGATTAAATATCACAGTTGACAGACATGTTAAATACAAAGGGGTATTTTGATCTTCTTAAGTCGCGAACTTTCGGATTTCGTTTTGCTTTAAAATAAGCAATTACAAAAATAAAGGCTTTTTCACGCTGTATATTTTTCATAATTTTCTGCCGGAATCGATGAGAAAATGAAAAATATCGATACCAAAAATGTATGAAAATGGGAGCACCTAAACACGAAAACGAAAAGTTGTCTGATTAAATCATTATTTTGCTTTTTTTTAATGAAAAATACAAAATAAGAGTTAATTTGTAGCTCTTAAAAAAAAAGAGAAATAATTGTTAGATTGTAATTTTTTTTAATTTAAAATTTATAACAGTTACGCTCCCTGACTTTAACATCTGAAATCGAAAAAAACTTTACTTTTGACTCAAAAGTGTTGAAATTCTAATTGATTTCTTAAATAAAACAAGGGAATTTTTTCAACATAAAAATTGAAAAAAACCACACTATCTTAGACTTATCGTTTAAAAAATTGACAATCGATCAAATTTAACTCACGTCTTGTGGGCCAGAAATCTGCTGCTGAATCCCTCCACGAAATCGGGACAATATTGACTCAATACGGTGCCAGCCGGGGTGCGGGGCCAGCAGAGATATCCATCGAAGTTCAGAGGACAAAAGAGGCTGGTGGTGTTCTTTTCGCCGAGATTCGCCTGCTGCTGCTGCCTCTGGTGCTCTTCCAGATTCGTGGCCATCGTGGCGGTAATGATGGTGGCATAGAGCTCGTTATTGGCTGCCGACGCTTCGTCCACACTCTGCATATCAATGCTGCCCTCGTTGAGCACGACGTTCTCCAGATATCGTGGCACCGGACTGAAGTTTTCCGGCACCTCCACCTCATAGTCTGTGGAATGAAAGGATGCTGCGATGAGTGGATGGTGCTATGGGAAATCACGTACATATGTGTCTAACCTGTTGCCGGTACCGTAGAGTCCTCGTCGTATGTGTCGTTCTGGTAGCGATAGACGCACTCAGCATACAAATGCTTTAAAAATATGCGCAGATTATCCTGGGGCTGTGCTTGATCTGGCGATGAGGAGGCCGAGGTCTCCATGGCCTCCATTGGGGGCGTCTCAAAGTGGGAAACTGTTGTCATATCTCAAAGCTGGCTGGAGGAGGAGATGGGGAAAGCAGAGATGGTAGAGACTTGAGCTGCTTCTGGCTGTCCATTCGTGTGTGCCTCGGTAATTTGGTTAGGCTTCAAAGAGTTGAGCTTAGAGGAAACTGATACAGATACTCGTAATTTTGCCAAGAATTAGAATCAGATTGAATGGCATTGTGCAGCCAGATATATCATGCTCTGGACCAGACCAGACCCCCGGCCAAGACCAGCAAATTGTGACAGGTTTAACGTTGAATGGGACTTTGATTGCATTGCTTCGCTCACCGCTCAGAGCCCACGGGCAGACCACGATACGCCGCACCGCACCGCAACACAACACACCGTACCACCCATATGTTATAAATCAGTTTATTGTCTAATTAATGTCAGCATTTAAAGGAGCTTAATTGCATTTGGTCTCAAAGTAAATGCCACAGGGCAAACTCAAATGAAATGCACTGCACATCGATCGAAAAGGTCGCCGTGATGAAAGGAGGGATGACACCCCACGGAAGTGCCACCGGGAGACAGGGAGACACATGTGGCATACTCGTAGGATGAGCTGCGCTGCGAAGTTCTAGCCTAACTCGGTTATATTTTTAATCAAAACTCATTTCGCTTGATTGAGTTTTAACAGAAGCCCTGCACTGGTACCGACCCACCCGCAACAGCTCTAGATTCTGATCCATTTGGTACCCCAGTCCCAGCTCCAGTGTCTCGGTAAATGCACACCGAAGGAGGATGAGAACAAGTCTGTTGTGGAGGAGGCTGCGGGAAAAACTTTAATTTGCGGTTTTTTACTTTTATTTATTACTTTTTTTGACAGTCTCCAGGAAGATTTGAGAAGGGAAAACAATCCTGCAGTTTGCTTGTTTTTATACCCCAGGCTAGTAGAGAACGGGTGCATGAAAATGTATGCAAAAGGCAGAAAAAGGCTTTTATAAATGCAAAAAGTACACATAAGAGTATATATATTACCCTAAGAACTTTTTTCTACGTTATTTTTTAAATAGATTTGTGGCTATAAAATTGCTTAAAATTTTGTTTCCTTTTCTGTTTTGTCTTTTTGTTAAAATTTTTCAAATCTGGTTACTTTTACTTTTTTTTAAGTGGTGCGTTTTTTTTTCATAGCTTAAGTATCTAACATCTGGTTGTGTTAAACTTTGTAATTCTAAAAAACCACATTTTTAGCAGCTGTAAATCGGACCTAAACACTTTGTAGCTTTAACTGACCGTCTGGAAACCTTCAAATTCAAGATTGATAATTTTGACTTTGACTCGGGAAAAGTTGAAATAAATATATTCCTTTGGTTTTCATATTTTTCTTCTTATAGGTCATTCTCAAATAATTATAACCTTCTAGAGGGAGTGTTTATTATTACGTCTGTTCATTCTGCAAGTGTCTCTCTTGATACAACGGCAATTTGCGGTTTTCAGAGCTTCAAATGGATATTGGCCATTGTCTGCCCTCTTTTAAAATTCCTGACGTGGGGTCGAATCTAACCAACATTAATGAGCATTAATTGCAATTTTAATCATTAGGCTTTCCCATATCTGGTTTCCTATATTAAACTGAATGCAGTGCACTGCCGGATGCAGTCACCCACAGTGCAGCGCCATGGCGCACAATTCGGAGCTTAAGCAAGAGAATGCAATGTAATTCCTTTTAATGGCGCTGGGGCATTTTAGAGGCACCGCAAAGTACGAGTATAAGAATGCATAAAGTTAATAAAGTTCGGTTTTATTTGTTTAATTTTCGAATCTTAAATTGGTATTAACGAATCAATAAAAACCTGAATTTTTCAATCAGTTCGATTTCTGAATTTTTTAACATCTTCCCAATTTGTTTCACATTCATCTTTTGACTACCTTACCTGATTACCTTAAAGTCAAGCAAACCAATTGTCCAATCAGGAATAAAAGAAGATGCCTTTTTCTGGCTTTCAAAGTTCAACTAAACCGAATACATTATCTCACATTTCCATAGCTAACCTTTCTTTTTTCTTTAGCTTTCATTTGTTTAAAAAATGTACATATTTAAATAATTAGAAATCATAAATCAATAGAATACGGCGGAAGTAAATCTCTTTAGAGTCAAATCAGCTGCAATTTAGTTAAATGTATAATGAAACCGCATATGTAGTTGATCCATTTCCTGCTTTATGTATAAAACGTCTATGTTTAAAACCCTTAACTGGTTGTTAGCACTCAATAAGGAACTTCTCGAGATTTCTATTAACAGTACTCATAGTTTTTATAATAATTGGTCTTAGAAATAAATTCAGTGTGAAGCCTACATAAAATACGAATAATTGGAAAACGTTGGCTTGCATAAATTATGCATGAAATTGAAATTTATTGTCAAAAACAGGCAGCAGTACGAAAACGTATAAGAGGAACGAGCAGAACGAGCAAAGACCAGGCTCAGTCTCATTCCCCTGCTGAAAATGATACAAATGGCCAATCGATGGCGCAGTGGTCGGGAATCGGGCGAAGGAATAATTATATGTACACATGCTGAATATTGATGATGAATTGTTTTGTCTAGCAAGCGAAACAGAACGATGGCAAAAAAGTCAATGCGCTTAATGATGCTGCTTCTCAGGCACTGTGTGGCTTTGGCTTTTACAGCCCGGAAACGGAAATGCCATCACGCACACAGACGCCTAATAGAGCTGCTTATGTATTATATTTTTCTGGCAATTCAGTTATTTTTGCCACCAATTAAAATAATAAATGACTTCAATGGTCGCCATATTAGTGCACAATACCAAATGCAATTATGTCGCTGGCCCCCGATCTTTTTCCGCCTTTTTGCTGTCATCCCCGTGGTCCAGTGATAGGCAGAAAAATTGCTACATTTGTAAATTATTGCAGTCATTTCCTGTCCATCACTATTTTTGTCTTTCCAGCTGATCCAAGAAAAACTTTTCGTGTGGCAAAGCCAGGGAATGCCAGGCAACGGAAATTGGCATTGGTATGTTAACCAATTACTTATTTTTATATATTCTTCATCCATGTATAATTTTGAAATAGAAATCTTTGCTTACTGAAACCAGAGTGTGTCTCCTGCTGTGAATTCAGCTGCAGCGAATTCTTGAAATATTTTCGTGTGAATTACCACACGATATTCAAAAATTCTAGTTCGTTTTCACTTCATCACAATTAAGAAATATAGAGATAAGGTGAAAGCGGGAAACATCAAAACCATTTGAGTTTTTCTACCTGATCTTCGGACACCTGCCGGTTTCATTTATTCAACCAGAAGTTCCGTTTACTGTCTATCGCACGTAATGTACAAAAAGTACCACAAAAAAAAAAATAAATAAAACGGAAGAAAAAGGCGCAAAAAAGTGAACTTTTATCTGGCACAGATGCGGCTTGTCTCAGATGCCGACCGTGCGGCAGCGCGTTCTAGTGGCAAGTGACCAAGCAGGCATCCAGCGCGAGGCGACATGACCCGACGCGAGTCGACGTGAACCGACACGGCCCACCCGGGCCCGACAACCCAACCCGACCCCGACCCGGACTTGCTGGGGCAAGTCACGGCACGGAACGAGGGAAGCTGTCATGGGCCTACACTGCGAGTGTGTACTCTTCGAAGTCAAAGCAATCGCCGTCGGGGTGGCAGCAAAGTTTTGAATTAGTTTTTTCGGTTGTCGTTCTGTGGAAATTTTGGTAGTGAAAAACAGCGTACAAAACTTGGTTTTGATATATGGATAATGAACGGTTGTGAAGTTTGAATCGAAATATAATTTTCCTTGTTTTGATTACGAATTAGATTAATGATAATTGTTAGACTTTTTATATACTTCGCACCCGATTTGGCCCTCCAAACCAGCTTGTATAATATACTCGCCAAAGCTATAATGTTGGCTACTGTTCGTCGCAGTGCTAACGTATGTCTGTAACACCCTCATCAAGTGGAAGGGAAATTTCGTCATCATCGAGGGCGAGCAGCGCATCATGCAGTTGGATGCTACAGAAGAAAGACGTTGATCGCGCCTCTGGGGACAAATCACCTCGAATCGCTTTTCTTAAATTTCCACGATATATTGTATTTGAATTTGTATTTGTAGTTGAAGCGTAGTGTATTCTCTCTCTGTATAGCCTCTGCCAGACCACGCTCTCCTCTCCCGTTCTCTCAGTGATTCGTGCGCAGGGCCAAGGAGTGGACCAAGGAGTGGGGTGAGGGGTTCCAAGCAACAAGTAGCTGTTCGCCTGCTTGCCAGCTTACTTTCTTTCTGTGACACGATATGCTCGGCAATATGTCTGTTGTGTGCGTCTAACAGTTTGATATACGCCAAACAGGGCGTGGTCACTTGCGGTGGGCTGTGGAGCAACGACGTACAAATTGCTACTCGAGCTGGGAGGGCCGGGCAGCATTTACTTAAGACATTTAAACGGAAACGGTACGGCTTCTCGGGTCTTCCTCAATAAGATTTGTCGTATGGATGTGATTCGATTTGGATTGCACATTAAGTTTTCTATTTTTTATACCCGATACTCAAAATGAGTATTGAGGTATATTAGATTTGTGGTAAGAGTGGATGTGTGTAACTTCCAGAAGGAATCGTTTCCGACCCCATAAAGTATATATATTCTTGATCAGCATCAATAGCCGAGTCGATTGAGCCATGTCTGTCTGTCCGTCTGTCCGTCCGTCCGTCTGTCCGTCTGTCCGTCCCCTTCAGCGCCTAATGCTCAAAGACTATAAGAGCTAGAGCAACGATGTTTCATACCCAGACTTCTGTGATATGTCACTGCTACAAGAATATTTCAAAACTTCGCCCCGCCCACTTCCGCCCCCACAAAGGGCGAAAATCTGTGCCAACCAAAATTTCAAAGAAACGATAAAACCAAAAACGCAGAATCGTAGAGGATGACTATATCTTTTAGAGTGCAAAGCCTGAAACAGGTCGTATAATTATTATAGCCAGAATCAAGAAAACAATTTCATTCTTTCTCGCTCTGTCTCTCTCTAACACACAGGTTTCATGGTCGGTTTTGCCAATTGCAAAATATGAGTTCAAGGACCTCAGAACCTATAAGAGCCAGAGCAACCAAATTTGGTATCCACACTCCTGTTATATCGGACCTTGACCATTTTGTGTCAAAATTTCGCCACACCCCCTTCCGCCCCCGCAAAGGACGAAAATCTGAGGCATCCACAAATCTCAGAGACTATTAAGGCTAGAGTAACCAAATTTGGTACACACACTCCTTTAAGATGTCACTATAAAACGTATATCTCAAAATTTCGCCCCACTTTCTTCCGCCCCCACAAAGAACGAAAATCTGTTGCATCCACAATATTGCAGATTCGAGAAAACTAAAAACGCAGAATCATAGATAACGACCATATCTATCAGATTGCTGAATCTGGATCAGATCAGATAATTTTTATAGCCAAAAGGAACAAATCAATTTGCACTGGCTACGCAGCGCCCGACGTCACGCTCAGACTGATTTTCTGTCTCTCTCGCACGCACTCTTTGTCGTGTCGTTCAATATTAGCGGCTTCTGCTGGAGGAGAGACATACTGACTTAGTATCGGGTATAACTGTAGAGTTGCGGTGTCCCCTCGTTTGGATTCTCGTTGAGAGAGCCCCGTGTGGGTTACAGTTTTAGTTTGGGCCAGAGTTCTTCTTATCGAACAGCAGGCAACCTGCATTCATTTAATATATCACCCTTTATCTTATGTTTCCTCTTTGGGTTTCGGCACATTTTTTAAATATGTATTTCAAATATATAAATAGTTCTTTGTTACATTTCAACGGAAATATTGAGGGGAAACTAGTCTTAAATGTATTTCCAATAAGCAACGTTCGGATTCCGTGAGATTTAGTTCTGGAAGTTCTTTACCGAAAAAGTCTGGCATGTAAGAACTGAATTGCGAGATATTTTTGCGTTATTTTATATGTTTAATGCCATTAGAAAAAATATATGCGACCTTTTTTTGATTTTTTTCTAGAAAGAACATTGCTTATTGACATTGATAGTGGAGGGTAACATAGTACATCGACTGATTCGTGGAAACACCTTGGAAACACCTCCCTATGTAGTTCTGCCATAATGTACATTTTCTTTGAGTATTATGATTGTTGCCGAATGAAATTCAAGGTTTTCAGAGGTTTGAAAAGAATTATTTTTAGGTAGCCTTTTGTTTTATGTACTTAAATCAAATACATATTGTTATTCAATAGAGAACTCTGATATAACTGAATCTGAACTTGAGAAAAAATTTAAGAAATAACTCGTGTAGTAAATTCCGTGCTTCTTCGAATATTTTAAAAAATGCATACTTTTTTGACTTTTCTTAATTGCCAGATGCCGATTATAAAACGTTGTTTTTCAAACGGCGGAGCCCTGTCCCGCCATGGATTTATTGAAGAGAAGTCGGTGGCCAATTCGCTATTAAAAAAACTGGCTCAAATAAGTACCCAGGTGGTCCAGGATATAGTAGACGATTCAGACCAGGAGGTTGGCGGTATAACGACTACCACAATTTTGGCGCGAGCTCTCGTAAATGAGAGCAACCAATTTATATCCAAAGGCGCCGATCCCAAAGAAATTCGGGTCGGCATCATGGCAGCAGTTGAAATGGTCATTAAGCAACTTAATGCCATGGCTCGCCCCATCAACAGACCTGAGCAGCTTCTTAGAGTGGCCATAACATCGGCACAAGGTGATCGGGCTATCGGAGGTCTGATCTACCAGACCATCAACACAATTGGACTGGATGGACAGATCTGCATACGGAACGCGAATACCATCGATGTAGAGCTGCGTTTCTGTGATGCAATTAAATTCCGGCAGAGCTATATCTCGCCGAGCTTCATCAACACTCCAAGCCGATCCCTGGTAGAATTCGACAGTGCTTTGCTCTTCATCTGTCGCAATACGCTCACTCGGGCGGAGAGCATTGTGCGTGCCATGGAACTGGCGGAATTGAAGCGTATGCCCCTGCTGATTATTGCAAAGGACATTGTGGATGAGGCTTTGAACCATTTGGTGTTACAGCGCATAAATGCGAATGCGAAGGTGGCTGCTGTTAAGGCCCCTTGCTTAGGCCGGTGGGGCCTCACAGATATTGCCATGGCCTCAGGTGGCGCTGTCTTCCCCAAAAATAATGAGCCGGAGCCTGAACCAGCCACCATCAACATCTACAATCTCGGCCAGGTAGGATATGTGACCATCACGAAAGAGGACACTCTGCTGATTCAGGGTTATGGCGATGAGAAGGCCATCGTAGACCGTATCGATGCCATCGAGAAAGAGATTCGCTGGTCATCCTCTCAATCCCAGAAAAAGATTCTAGAGGAACGCATGGCTCTTCTCGACACTAGGGTCGCTGTCTTCTTGGTCGGCGGTTCCAGCGAGGGCGACAAAGAAAAGAAAAAGGATCTTATCGCCAACGCAGTTAGGATCACGAACGCTGCCGTCGAAGGGGGCCTCGTCCCCGGTGGAGGTACTGCCCTGATCCGGTGCATGGAACATCTGGAGAGCTTGATAGTCGAAAACAAAGATCAGGTAAGTTGGTAGTCGCGTCAATCATCCATAACTCATGCGATCCCTATGTGATGTGCAGAGCCTCGGAGTGGATACCGTGCGTCGAGCCCTACGCATGCCGTGCTGGACTATTGCACAGAATGCGGGACTCGATGGGGACGAGGTGGTATATATTGTGGAGACGGCCCCCATGTATGAGGATTTTGGATACGATGTGGTGTCAGGAAAATACGGTAGCATGTCCATGAAGGGTATCATGGATCCAACCAAGGTGGTGTGCACTGCCATCAAAAATGCCGCCGGTATGGCCTCGCTCCTGATCACCGACCACGAGTATATGATCTCCAATAAGTAGTTGTGCCCCAAACAATACATTATATTTTTTTAAGGTTCAGTAAAAGTTTAAGTTCCTACAATAATTTTTTGACTTTTTAACATACTCTACATGCAGCTCTATATTGTGGCACTACGCTTACATTATGCCAAGATTTTGGTTTATTCAAAAGAAACTTTTACATTTGTTGGAAGTTTCTTCAGATGGATGACGTTTTCAAATGTTTCTTTGTACAATTCATTAAAAAAATTCTGAAAGAAATACTGAAGAAAAAAAAATATTTCCAATAATTGGCCAATTTTATTTTCTAGCAATTACCTTGAATTTCCATTATTATAAATAATAATAGATCCTTATCATAGCATCAAAGTATTGTAATTAGTAGATAGTAAAGAAAATAAATTTCCCACAGCTATCAATGCCATTAATATTATCAGTGTTCCAGCTTGACGATCGCCGTTCCACAATAGGTCACCCATTTCTGGGCGTCACCAGAGAGTGCTCAAAGTGCGAGTGCGAGAGTTTAAAAAAAGCATGCGGAGCGATGGGAGTTTTTGTGAGGTAACGGTCGCACTCAGAGCGCACGTTTCGGAGTGATAAGAGCGGGGATGGAGCTGAATAGAAGCGTTAACCAGAGGAAGGTGATGTAAAGAGTATATAATCATTCGTCCGGGTTGACAAGCCAGGCACGTAGCGCCGTCACAGAGCCCGGCCAAGCCCGGGAGTTATCAGGGTTTTGCTCTAGTTTTGGGATTGTGTTTGGGTTTCCACATAAAAGGCGTGAGCGCTGCTAGCAGAGACATCAGTTCTTCGGCAACAACATGTTCCACTCCAAGCTCCATCTTCTCCTCAGCGTAGCTAGTGTCCTGGGTGCCCTGCACACGGCTCAGGCCCAGTACGATCTCTATGGGGACCTATCCTACGGCAGCTCGGTAGAGTCGCAGCTGGACTACGTATTCACGGACAGCTACTACGACGTCATCTGCCCGCCCGGCGACTCCCCAGTGTGCGCCACGGACGGCCGCCAGTACCAGCGGTTCTCCAGCAAGTGCCGCCTGGACTCGCAAAACCTTAAGCTGCTCTTCGCCGGCAATCCGGGTGAGTGCTGTGCTCTCTCAGCCAGGACTAGTGTCTCAAAAGTAAACTCTCCCTCCTTCCCAGAACTGACTCAAACTGATCTCAACTACTGCTCCTCGTACTCTGCTCTGGCTCCTTCGCCCTATTATCTGCGCCCCCAACCGACGCACGCCACCCACTACTCTTCGATCTCAGGCTCAAACTCATTCGCCTATGCCGCGGCCAACGGTCCCTATGGCGCCAAGGCAGTCGCTGAGGCTCCCGGTCCATATCCCGTTGGATCCTCTTCCTATCCCGTGTATTCGAAAAGCGCTCCGGCGTACAGGGCCTTTGATGGAGTGTATCCTAAAACTACTGCGGCTCCGGCCCGTGGCTCCACAGTGGTAACTACCAAGGCAACTCGTTATCCTTCTAGGTATCCCACTGCGGCTCCAACTTCAGCCCCCACTACTCCTCCTACGCCTGCAACTACTGATGCAACCACTGATACATCAACTGCTGCTCCAACAAAGACATCGACGACTGCCCCAACAGATGCATCGACGGCTCCTCCAACGGCAGCACCCACCGATGCACCAACAGCTACTCCAACGGTAGCACCTACTGATGCATCAACGGTCGCTCCTACGGCCACACCCACCGATGCACCAACCGCCGCTCCAACCTCTGCTGCCACCGATTCCCCAACCGCCACTCCCACGGCTGCACCCACGGCTGCTCCCACGGCTATTTCCACGGCTGCTCCCACAGATGTTACCACGCAAGCCACAACCGCGGCTCCCTCCGTAAGAAATCCTCATCCCTGATATCTAACCCTTTCTCAAATACTCCATCGTTCCAAAATTTCAGGGCGATCTGGTGATCACGGAGACAGACGGTTTGGCTACAACCACCACCACCGTGACGCCGGGCACGATCGACACCTGTCCCGATACCTTTACCACCTTGACCATCGTCGTGAATGGAGTGACGAGCACAGTGAGTGGCTGCAAGACCGTGACAACAAGTTGAGCAGTAGCGAATAAATGTGGAGAACCATCAGCACGATAACGACCAATAGAAACCATAGATTCAATAATTCGAAATAATTGCAATCGATCCACGGCAATGTGTAGCGTGTTCCATTTAGTTTAATAAAACTATTAGTACAGCCCCACAAACAACTGAACTCAATCGCATCTGGCCGGTTTTGGGAGTTCCCTCAACGCGCAACTCTCATCGAGCAAGTGTATCCGCCCTCCCTTCAATATAATTTTCGGCATTGGCCTAATACATTTTTTTAAGCAGTTGGCGCTTTTGTGTTCGCTTATCTTTTCACAATAAAATGGCATTAAAAGCTTAGGGAAAAATCAGGAAAATGTGGGGCCAGGCCATGAAAACTGTAGCGGCGGCCTTTGTATCATAGAGCCGTCGGCTCTGTGGTTGGGTGGCTCGGTGGCTTGGCCGCTCGAAGCGGAAACGGAAATTAACAAATGCCCCTGGCAACACTTTGCATCTGCAAACAGCAGTGACAACAAAAGCAGCAGAAACTCTGACACCTGGCCCCGCTAAAATAGCCATTTATATTCAAATTGTTTTAGCCTGGCTCTGATTTTCGGCCTGCAGGAACATCAGTTTTTTGTGGTATTTTCATACACGATACTCAAAGAGTATAGGGGTACATTAGATTTGTGGTGAAAGGCGCGAATATATATATTCTTTATCAGCATCAATAGACGAGTTAAACTGTCCGTCTGTCCGTCCGTCCCGATGAGCGCCTTGATTTCAGAGACCATGAACTATCAAACTTCTGTCATAGCCCACTGTTACAAATATTTTAAGATTTCTCTCCGCCCCTAGAAAGGACGAAAACTGTGGCATCGACTATTTTAAAGATACGGGAAAACCAGAAACGCAGAATCATAAAAAATTACCATAGCTACCAGATTGACGAATTTGGCCAAGATCTGATTATTATTACAGCCGGAAAAAACAAATCAATTCGCAGTGGCTACGCAACGCCGTCCACGCGCTAACTCGTTCTTTCTCTCTCTCTCTCTCACACTCTCATCTTGTAGTGTGCGACCTCTTTCGTAGGAGAGCCATACTCTCTGCGAATTGGGTATAAATGTAGAGTCGCGGCCGTAGCAGCGACGCACACCCTTCGTCTCATTTTTTCTTTGTTAAGCGGGGAGGGTTCTTCAAGTGTAAAAAGTTTCATGTGGAAAGCTGTTTAATTAAATAATAAAAATTTAATTTGAGGTGCAAATTCGGGAACGATTTGTTGCGGCAACACAAACCTAAAGACCTTTGGTATATTTTTTCTCTGAGGCTTGGAATGAATTTCAGTGAATTTTTAAAGGAGTTGAAGCATGAACTTTGATTCAATTTGGGTGTAATTTTGTTCATGCTCCGTACTTTGTTCGGTTATTCCATGTGCTTAAATTTCAGACGAAAATTCTTTTATCCTTAGATTTAACAATTTAAGAGCAATTTACCTCTGGGCGCAACCTTTTTATAATTGCTTAAGTATTTTAAATTCACGATTATATCTCAAAGAGGTTTTCTGGTATTCCGAAAAAGTACATTTATATACGATTATCTCAACCGATGTCAGATGTCTCCCTACCGCCGTTTCATCCTTCATACTTTCCAAGAATTCCAGACTTCTGCATATTTTATGTAAGATGATTTGAGAAATTACATTTGATTTGATTTGATTTGTCGGCCGCAACAATGTTTTTTATTTGCTTGCATTTTCTTTTTGCCCTTCCATCAAAAGTTAGCCGGAACATGGTAGGAGGAAGAGAGACCGCAAAGTTGCCGAATTTGCCAAAACACTGGCCGAACAATTGAATGAACTCTTTTGCTATTCTCTTACACCTCAAGCGTTCGTCGTCGATTGGTTGGAGGAGGGGGGAGGGGGGGGGGGGGGATTTTGTTTGTGTAGTTGTAAACAATGAATGGAGGGGCCAAGCAAGCAATATCATGAATGTGGAGTATGCGAACGAAGAGATATGTACCTTATAATCAGTTTTTTTGTACAATTTATTGTAAGTCTTCCGCCAATTAGATAAATAAACGAAGCTATCTATTTGAAAATTGATGGCGCCAAAGTTTTTTAACTAGTACATTTGATATTTCAGTCAAGTTTCTTTGGTTGCTGCGGTCATTGAAGCGTTTGATCAGTCCATCATACCTTTTTTGTTCCACGAGCACCATACACCTTCTCGTAAACAGAATGCGAGACGTTGAAACTTGAAAGGCAGCTGCGCGCCGCATGGCCTTCCCTTGCGACGGCTGATAACTGATCCCAGATGGTAGATAGTCGTTGTAGTCGGATGGCAGCGGTACCTCAACTTCTTAAGCCAATTATTGACACGCTGTGGCAGCTCGAATAAATCAAAATCTGGGCAAAGCCGTTGAAGGAGATGGAGGGGAAGCTAAAGCTGAAGAAGGCGCTTGGGCTGAAGAGGGAGCTAAAGAAGGACCAGAACCAGAAGGAGAACGACTTTCTTGAGCTATGGTGTTTTTAATAAATTTCAAGTGGAACAAGATTTGTGGTGGCTTTTGATCGGGCAAATATTTTGCTTGCATGCCATGCTGGCCACGCCCTCACAACATAAATCAAATGCCGCCCGCATGCCACTGGAGTGACTTGATTCGTTTGATTTTGGCCCTTTTTTTAAACCACGTTCCCTGTGGCTGACTATGTGGCCCGAATGAATATTTATGACCGCGAAATCAGCTTATAACATTACCCATTCCTCTCGACTTCCCCCTTGTATTTATATTATATTCTATATATGCATGGACTCGGCTGATCCAATAGTTTGTTTACCATTTATACCGCGAAATCAGATCGCATTCAACGGACAAGAACAATGTGTTGGGTATTTTTATTAGATTTAATCGTGCGCGCCTTGACTACGTACAAATAGTATTCATTTCGCACCTGAACTTGGCCGAAAAATGTTCTCCGGGCCAGGCATTCTGCCTGCTCTGGCGAGAGCTACA